CCCCAAAACCCCAAAACCCCAAAACCCCGTGATAGGTGAAAATAATTGAAAAGATTGCATAATATTTTACTTTAATGAATCTAGCAGGCCAGACCAAGCCATCCCTTCCCTTGAAAGATATATGGAGTGACGACCAGGTATCTTGTTATAATAGCGATGATTGCTTCCCTCAGATACCTAAGGTGACCCATCAGTTTAAAAACACTTTGAAAGACAATAAAGGGAAATTGAAAAAGGAAGACTTTATAAAGAACTTAGAAATTCCTTGCAAGAGACAACTGTTCAAAGATGATACTATTGTGATTGGAAAGTCAACAGGTTTTAAAACATGATCTAAGCCTAACCCTCATGCAAAGAAATTGAAACCATTAACTTTCGGCTCTCTTGCTCTTAGGAGAAACTCAAAGGAACTGAAGAAGATACCCTCGAGTGAGATCCTACAATTACTGCTCTCATGAAAAGAGATCTAGTTTGGCTCTGGGATACCTCTTATTTAACATTTATAATTTCTGCTAAAAGTTCCTAAACTTTGGAGATTAATAAAAGTTATAAAATTTTGAAGAATTCGAGAAAATGTAGGAATGAAACTGTGGTAGAGTTATTGAATAGAACAATTTTTGGGTGAAAATAAAAGAATTAGAAATTAAGAAAGCAAGATAAGGGAGATTGAATGAATTAGGGGAATAGAATGTAGGAAGAAGTTCTCTCTGGTTTTTGGATAGGTGAAAAAGCTGCTTTATAAATTAAATTACGGTTATGAGTACCTTGATGTTTTTATGAATTTTGAAGATTAGTTATTTGAATAGAGAAAAATGTAGGTAGATTTAAAACTTTTAAGAATTTTATAATTGGCTAAAATTAAGTTAGACTGGTTAACTTGATAATCTCTGAAAAGTTTCCCGCATAATAAAATTATGAATATGAAGGTAATAAACATTACTGTGATTTTTAGTTGTTATGAGTAAAATGTCAAGTTATGTAAAAATTAGGTCTTCTAGCCTACCCTCTTTATTTTAGAAGGAAATTTTTGTTTGAATTCTATTTCTTTAATAATCATCCAAATAGAATGCAAAATTATGACAAATTTCTTACCAAAGTGTGGTGAAAGAGTAAGCTCCTATGCTGTATTTAGTCAAGAATTTCCAGAAAGGATCTCTCCTCTGCTTTATTAGTAGAAGAAAGTTAATTCTGGATGTACTAGCTCACTAGGATTCATCATATCACTAATTTTTATTCATACTCTTAAAAATCAACTTGAAAAATTTAGGTCAGGCTGAGTCGAAGAGTATCCTTACACCTCTCAAAGAGCACACAACAACGGCCTTGTAGGATTTTATTCAATTTTAATCTTGGAACTCCTTCATGCCTATTATGAATGTTTTCAAAATTAGGTTAGTTTACTTGGACCATACCTTAAAGTGAATAGTGGTGAAGCTAATTTTTTAGGAAGTCTTCACCTCTTAGAAATCACTAACAAAACTGTACAAGAAACATTCAAAAGCATGCCCAAATCCTCCGAGAAATTCAGCAAAGCGTTTGTTTCTTACATGATATTATAAGTTTTGAAGCTGAAAACCTTCTATTATTCATATCTTTGCATGGCTGGTCTCTCTATCAGAGAGAGGGAAGAGCAAATCACCACCGGGAAGCTTTCAATATCTTATGTCTGTCTAAAATAATAGTGGCAGCAACTAATTCAAAAGTCGGTGAAGGCTTTATAGTTTTACGTATTTTAGGTAAAAACTCTAATTCTTCAACATGCATTTCTCTGCTGATCGAAAAATAAGGTTTATCCAATTTTGTATATATTCTAAACTTGATTATTGGTGAATACTAATTATTCAGATAACAGCATCGATGAAAGTTACGCTAAATTTTTATGCCTAGTTTGAAACTTTATGAACACTTCCATTTTTCATAAGCATCTTATGATAAAAGCTAATGTACTGGAAGGTGATTATATAAATATTCTCACAAGTGGTTTGAATGTTTAACCACAATACTGAATAGAGATATTAAATCTCATATTCATAGGCTGTTTCTTCATGAGAATTCACCAGATTATTTTTCTCAAAATTATGATGATTCTTACATTTCATAGTGATAAATAAAGAAAGTTAGGTTTCAATCTAGGCTAGCACTTGCGGGGTTTTGGGGTTTTGGGGTTTTGGGG